CCCTACTACTCTGATGCATGCTACAAATTTAAAATCAAAAACAAAAACCAGGCACCAGTGTCTCATGCCTATAATCCTAGCTACACAGGGGGCTGAGATCTGAGGATTGCAGTTTGAAGCCAGCCTGGGCAGAAAGAAAAGTCCCCACGAGACTTTTTTTTCTTTTTTGTACTTTTTTTTTAAATTATAAAAATACTGTACAGGGGGGTGGGGAGAGCGGGGATGATTGGGGGGGCAGGGGGAGGATGGGAAGGGATGGGAAAGGGAAACAAAGGAGGAGGCTACAATGCTTGATAAGAAATGAACTCATTATCTTGCCCATGTAATTGTAACCCCTCTGTACAGTATTTTCACAATAAAAAAATACTGTACAGAGGGGTTACAGTTACATGAGCAAGGTAATGAATACATTTCCTATGGAGTATTGCCTCCCCCTCCCATCCCTTGTTTCTCCCCTACCATCCCTTCCCTCCCACCTCCACAACTCCCCCCTCGCATGGACTCTTATCTCCAATTAACCACTCAAAAACAGGAAGAGTTGCTGTGGTTCAAAGTGGTAGAGTGCTAGTCTTAAGCAGAAGAGCTCAGGGACAACACCCAGGCCCTGAGTTGAAGCCCCACAACCAAATGACAACAAAAAACAAAACAAAACAAAAACCTGGAGCTGGTCACTGGTGGCTCACATCTGTAATCCTAGCTACTCAGGAGGCTGAGATCTAAGGATCACAGTTCAAAGCCAACCCCAGGCAGGAAAGTCTATGAGACTCTTACCTCCAATTAATCAACCAGAAAACCAGAAGTGACGTAATAGCTCAAAGAGCACTAGTCTTGAGCAGAAAAACTCAAGGACAGCACCCAGAACCTGAGTTCAAGCCCCATGACTGGAAAAAATAAAAAAGTACTGGATTAGATTAGATGGCTTTGGAAAGTTTCATGTCCATTCTGAAATTCTCCACTGATAAATCAAAGAGTATGACTTACATTAGGTCTATTTGACCCTGATCTTCTTAATGCATTCTCTCAAGGTAGCTGGGATAAGGCAGTCTCTGCAGCCTCCTTTCTAAGGGTACTAATCCTACCCAGAACTCTTCCCCTACTGACCTCATCTCTCCTTAAGACTTCATCTACTCATACTGTCATACTGGGGAAAAAGGATCTAAGCCTATGAAATTAGACCATGATCATTATCTAACCTTCAAGTCATCAGATAATATTGGTTCTTATACCTGCCTAGGCCTGTGGGTCTGATTATAAATTCCCTCAGGTCCAGATCTGTTTTCATACCCATTAGTACCCAGCAGAGAATCTAAGACAGAAAAGCTGGTAACAATGAAAAACTAAGTATGAGGAGGGATGGATAGGCAAGTGGGCCAAGGAATGAGTAAAGACTGCGTCTTTCCTTGCCCGGCCCTCTGTCCATAACACATCAGAATGAGCTTCAGTATTTGGGTCAACACATGAAGAGGTGGGGATTGTCTTTCTTGATTACCTATCATTCAGGCCAAATAACTAAACTAGCATCCTGGCCCAGAGATTAGGAGTAAATTCTCCTCTGCTTCAAAATCTGGGTTCACAAAACCCACACACCTGGAGAGCAGTTGCTGGGAAGTAAATGTTCTTTAAATCAGATGGGATAGGAAGGAGGGAGAGGGGGAAGGGAAAGGGGAAGAAAAAGGAAGAGAGGCGGGGGAGAGACCATGATCTATTCAGTTTGGAAGTAATAAGCTTATAAATGTTTCGGAGATACCCTGTTTAAATTGGACCAACTTCAGACATATTTTTATTCAAATTTGGAGAGATCGTGAGAGTTTCATGCCGGCAATGGAACCTAGGCATCAATGCCATCTGGTACACGGTGGAGGAAAAAAGGCACAGATTCCCGGGTCTGGAAATATTTGCCAGGTTATCCAAGGGAGAACAGGCCTGCCCAGAGGGCAGAGACACAAACCACAGCCTCCCAGGACTTTTGTGGTGCTGCTTTGGTCTGTGGGGTAGCTCAGTTGCTTGCAATCTGAGCAAGCTGAGGGGCTTTGTTCTCAGAGGCAGTTTTAGTTCATTTTCATGAATGAAAGAACTCTACTGCTTAGAGGAAAATGGCGTTGTCCTTGGGAAGCAAGCATGAGCAATCTTCCTGACAGTCAGTCACCCAAGGAGGAAGCAGACCTGCAAAAATGAATCTTTTTGCCCTAAATGACTTGCAAGTTCTCTGCAGATCTAGATGTTGGAGGTAAGAGCACAGGTGTATCTCTATGGTACGAGACAAGATGCCATTTCCTCCCCCAAGAGACTATCAGGAAGGAACCTAGTGATGGACAGCTACTGCCAGGATCTCCCTGGAATCCCTTCCTATCTCCTTCATCACTTCCTACCTCCTAGCTACAGAGGACAAGTAGCACTTGGGACCAGAGTGGCCAGGCAGAAAGCCCAGCACAGGCTGGAGACAGCTGATGCAGCTGCAAGATGGTACCTATTTTAGAGGCACTGTGTTTTGATTCCTCCAAAGGGATTAAAGCTGGAGTCTAGCCAGTCATACCTATAAGGTTCATCCACAACTCAGCTAGAGAAGGAGCCATGCCAGAGCAGATGAGGTTCAATCAAGGCTTTTTTTTTTGGGGGGGGCGGTCTGGTTGTGGGGCCTGAACTCTGGGCCTGGGTGCTGTCCCTCAGCTCTTCAGCTCAAGGCTAGCGCTCTACCACTTGAGCCACAACGCCACTTTCGGGCTTT